TAAACTAAAAACAGCCTGAAGCTCCGAGTGAAGATCGCTCGCTTCGATGTATTCAATGACTTAGCAATGGAAAAGTCAATGACCCACACGGGCATATTCAATTATTTAAATCACTTTATTTCCACTTCTAATGGTAGCGTTGTTTTCAGCTGATTCTCCTCAAACACAAATAATTTATGCATTTATTTGCGACAACATTCAGAGGCAGATCAAAACATATATGGTGCTAATGGTGATTGTTTCTGAGATTCATCAAATCTGTTGGGCACTGGTGTAAAGAGATGTTTAAAATGTTGCTCAGGGTGCAAAAAAAGGGTAAGTTTATTAACAAAAAATCACACCAAAGATAAGAAAATCAAGAGTTTCAGGTAAGTGAGGGTACAGCAGCTGAGAGAAAGAGCCTCACAGCAAACTGCTTCAATCAATATTTTCTCCCCCCCCCCTTCTTTTTCTTCTTCTTCTTCTCTTGGGTTTGATGGTGGTTGGCATCCATAGTTGTTGCATTACCGCCACCTACTGGGTTTTTAACTATTTCACAGTTTTAATATTTTCTGATATTCCACCCATAGTGCTCCCTTCACACTACATTGTCCATTCTTAGGCTAAATTCAAATCGTCTCCCTAAAGCCTGTAAGCACTGAGCCCTCCCAGACTTTGATGGCGTCAGGTCTGCAGTGTGTGAGTTTGTGAGTCCACAAGGGCTTGAGATGGTGTAAAAAAAAAAAGTGAGTATCACTTCTACACTTGCTTTGATTAAATGAAGATTTTTTTTTCTTTTTCAAACTTAATTGAATACTGCTTCATTGTAAGAATATTTGTTAACATTTGAAAGGGGCTGGAAGATCACGTCCTTCATGTCACATCATGTCAGTTTGCAGTGAACTCTGGGTAAGTCCTAAAAAGTCTGCACATATGCAGACTCTTGTAAAGTGTGTGATTTAATGTTGAGAAGTTCACATCAGAGCCCTCGAGCACTTGACGTTTTCACAATGGGACAGCACTAAACACTCACACACTTGCCGGTTAAGTGCCTCAAAATCTCTGAGTCTGTGAGTGTGCAGTTTGGAATTGAGCCCAAGGGCGCTCTCATACAAGACCCAGTTGCCCTGTACTGTGCTAAAGCAGGATTGTCCCCCTTCCCCAGTCCCCTGCTGGCCTGCACTCACATTGTTCGAGGCCCAACATGGGGGTTACCTTAGATACGTCGTCTTGTCATAATAGGACACACGCATGGCTATACGTCATCATGAAGCATGCTTTATTATAGTTATAGTTAGCTCCATTCTTCTCTGGTATCCACCACGAATGAGAAGATAGTCACAGATTTTCCCAAAGACCTCAGAGTTCTTTTGGGTTTTAGCCAAATGACTCTTAATATTTGCATCGGCCGAATTTTGAGTAAACACTCCACCTCTGCTTCAGACCAAAGTGAGCTCTTTGCCACGATTGTTCTAAATGGTTGTTAAAAGGAATGGTTGAATTGATCATATGTCATGTCCACGTTGCTTCACCCTGGTTGTGCTCGTGCATGAGCACCCGCACCATGCCAAAGCCCACCTCTTCCAACCGTTCCAAGGTGTATAGTGCTTGAGTGCTTGGGGTCAAACGTGCTAGGACATGTTACGTATTTCCGAGTGTGGGAGCCCTAGGACTCAGACACAACTGTCTGACTTAATTTCTGCCAAACTCTCTTGAAAACAACCTCCCACCTTCTATGTGTCTCCTGTACCTCTCTTTGCCCTAATTGGTGCAAACCATTATAGGGAGGTAATTGAAACCAATGCAATTCCCACTGAAACAGTAAAACAACACCATTGCGTGGACATATTTCAAAATGGGAAATTACATCAGATCAATACAAATTGACAATAATGAACGTGATGATGGAAAACCTCATTTAATTTAACCTATTTTTTATAAAAGAAGAAACACTCTAACTGAAGGCTCCACGCTGTGTCTAACTCACTGAGCCTAATTACTCTGCTGGCTGCAGGAAATGTAAGGAGTGTGGGGGCAGGTGAAAATGTTTAGAGGAAACATTTTCATAATTTTCTGTTTGTTTGTGATCATACTCTTCAATTTTTTATCTGTGTAACTCTACTGCTGCCACAGCTGCAACCAAATAAATAGGTCTGCATTGACATTTAAATAGTCTAATTCAAAATAAAAGACTCAGATAGGTGTGTCTGTTTTGTGTTTTCTGATATCTGATTGGTCTTCTGGATGCCTCTGGCCTCTGAGTGGGATTTAAATCCATCCCTGATTGTTACTCTCTTCACCTTTGTTCCCCTCTGCTCTCCATACCGACTGTTTCCCTATCTATGAGCAGCTGCTTATTAACATATAGCGGCCTATTGTGATTGGTTGGTTTCCTAAGGGTCTCATTTGCAGGCAGCACACACACACACACACACACATGCACACACAAACTGAAGGTGGGTGGTTGGTTGGTGACTCATATACATTTAGAAAAAGCAGATCCATGCACACACAGACAAAAAAACACACACATTTGCAGAAATTAGCCCAGATTAATTATGCCTTTAACATGCAGTCTGCATGAAAGTGAGCATGCACGCACATCATTTTGGGTAGTATTGCAGATTTACACATATCGGCAACCTTTTGTGTTCAAAAATGAAGCCAATGCGAAAGTGCTAAATATTAGTACTATAGTGGCTTAGCTCATCTCTTGATCAGCACTGTACGGGGTGATTCATTCAACTCATCCATTTTTATATTTTATGAAACGTCTCCTTAGGAAAGACAGGACAAAGCAAAACAGTTCGCTGTACAAACCTATAATGACAATATTTTCTTTACAACAATCCTATGTGTAGTTCGACATAATCACAATATCAACAAAAGAGGGGAGAAGATCATACTGGAGAACAGAAAATCGCAAGATCACAACAGTCGGGTGCAAACAATCTATGGTCGTGCACTATAGACTGGTGAAATCTCCTGATTATATCCTGCTGCAGTCTCACAAAAATGAAGCCAATGCGAAAGTGCTAAATATTAGTACTATGGTGAAATCTCCTGATTATATCCTGCTGCAGTCTCACATCTGCTCATTCAGACTTCATGAAGAAAAAATACTAGAGGGCTGACAAGAGAAACGCTGAGTGAAAGTCAGAGGGAAAAATGCAGCTTTTTGCATTCACACATGCACCTCTACTGAAAAACTTAAAGCTTGTCTGTAAAATCTGGGTGAAGTCGGGGTGAAAAAATTGGTCGCTTGCCTTCACACATGAAGCTCACCCCAAAAATGTTGTGCAAATGTGAACTCTGTTAGTTCCAACAATTATTTAGCTAACCGTTTATTTATTTCCAAAACATTATTAAGTAGCTCAGTGTGTACATTCATGTTTAAACAAGCCCCCCCCCCCCCAACACCCAACCACCCCCCCCACCCCCCCACTCCAAGTTATGCAAAACATCTCCATGGAGTCATGAACGCAGGACTGCATCTGCTCCGGGGATCTGCTGACTCAATGGACTGCTGCCGAGGGGGAGGCGGGGGGAGGGGGTTAGGATACATTTAATTGATTACCCCCACACACACACAGCCACACACACACCAACCATCTGCCCCAGAGGTCAACATCCCATCACCATCCCAAAAGACTGGCGTCCCCCACTCCCCCGCCCTTCGGCATCACATACTTTGTCCATCTTCTCCTGCTTCTGCCCTCAGTGACCTAACACTGGCCCAAATATGGATCTGGAGTAGATGAATGATATGACAGAAAACCCTCTATGTGTGACTGAAAACATGTTTGAAATCATGCAAGAATCAGAAATGATACCCTGATTATTAGGAATAAACACCTTAATCAATAGAAGAAAAGGCTTCATGTATTTTCTCCTGAGATCTGATCTGTTAGCTGGTGTCAAGGAATGAGTACACAAGCTTTATTATTTCATGTCCTCTGCTGCCATCTAGTGGTCCAGGCTTGGAACTACATGCACTGAAATATTCACCTGACATGGGCGTGTATGGGAGGTGCAAGGATTGGGCCCTTTAAAGACATCTCACATTTGGCCCCTCCAACACATGCTCAGTCAATCCTTTGATATTTCTACAAACAAACCTTCTCATCACAAATGAACTAATGAAAGCTTAATAAAAAAGCTAAAGCAAATAATGATATATAAAGCTTTTTGATTGTTTCCAATTTTATTTTATTTTTCTTATAATTCTTTTTAAATTAAAAATATAAATTTGACTAAATATGCAGCAAGATAATCCTATAGCTGTAATCTAAAATTGCAAAAGGGATTTTTTTTTTCAAATTAGTTGCCTGCAAAGATCAGCTTTACTTGCTGTAGTCCTTCCTTCTGTTCATACTTGACATTTAAACTGGGATAGGCAACTTATTTGTCATATTTTTTATTTCATATACCAGCAGTGGCTATTATATCAAATGCTCAAAGAAAGAAAACAATCTGGTCTGAGGGGTTGTTGCTGGCCTGTCTGTCCAATCATTTTATTCAGACCAAATTAAATGTTTGCCTGCTTGTCGACATGTGTGCACTCTTCTCTCCAGTTCATTGTGCATGTATTGCCCCCACTTGTGAAAATTGGAATAATCTGCTGTTTTTCAGAATTAATGACTTAATCTCGTAAATTCAGAAAAACAGAAAAATATTTTAGCTTTTTTGTAAATCCAAGATAATTATTTTTATTAATTACTTCTGAAAAGCACACCACATTTTTATCTCAAGTTAATGCATTTAACTTGTGGTATAGGCCGACTCATCATTGTGTTATGTGCCCTAACGGGAAAGGGAAAAAAAGTTACAAAAAAATCAAAAGAGGAATGTTTGGCAGTCAACATGAAACTCGTAGTATAAGAAGAAAGGAGCTTTTCCTCTTCTTTTTTCTGCCTTTTTTTTATTTTTATGATTAATTGAAAGTAGTGTGGATAATTAAGTTTATTATTAATCCGATGGGGGCAGTATTGCGAACCTGTCCGTTTAAAAACCAACGAAGAAGAACACATCGGAAGTAAATAATGTGTTACCTGTCATGTCCGCTCTCACACATCATAAACAAGAAGTTATAGGCTAAATCAACATTTTTCTTCATAGTGCGGTGTTAAAAATACTTCTCATTCATCCGGTTTAAGAGAGTAAACCGACAGCTGTGAGCTTTCTGATTTGTTAGTCGGTGACTGAGAGGAGTTAGCTAAAGTTAGCAGAGGAGTTAGCACTTCATTCAAAATGAAGACAGTCCTGATGGTGGCAGAGAAACCATCGCTGGCTCAGTCGATTGCCAAAATCCTCTCTAAAGGTAAGTAATATTATAAATATGTTTAATGTAATACTGTAATTACACAGATAAGCAGGTAAGCTGAGGAGCTGAGTGATTTATTTGGGACAATAAGGAAACCTTTGGCTCCCTGCCACGCCAAACTCTGTTTAACAAATAAACCATTTAACTTTGACTTCAAATTTATAAAAAGAAAACGCTTCTCCTTTGTTCATTTTATCCGCATCTTCTTCTCTTGAGACACTACAATGTTTCGGCTACTCATGTTCAGGTACTCTTAGTTGTTATCTTAAAGCAGGACTCTTCATTGCTGTAGTCAGGTACGGGGGCCGGGAGCGCCCAAAAAGAGTGAACGCGACCCCGTATTTCAGCAGCTGGTTATCATAGGGCATAAACAACATAGAATATTTACTGATGAGTGAGAACAAGCATTGTAATCGTATATTATGATATCCATTTATAATAATAATAATGAAAACACAACAAAGTCATTGTTCTGGAAAGTATATGAGCTCAAAAATATCAAGAGATCATCTTTGACCTGTCGAAAGAAATTTCCAGTGGACTTTAATTGAGATGTTTTTTTTCGGTTTACATGTATAATATCTAAGACATTTAAAGGGAAAATCTACACCAAAATTAGATTGGAACACTTTGATAATGTGGTCATATTTGATTTTCAATTAAAAGAATATGTAATAAATGACAAGAGACTTTCAATGGATTCTTATTCCACATGTCATTGGCTCTGACCTTGTACACTTTTTACGGTAAACTTAAAGGTAAATTCGGCACAAATTGCGATGGACCACTTTAATATTGTAGTCATATTTAATGTTTTATTTTGAACCGTTCTTAATAGGTGACTGTTCATGTGAACACATCATTGTTCAAGCGGCTTGACCAGGGATTTCGCACACTTGTCTCATCACGTGTGCACCTGTATAGGACTCTGCTCGTCATTCAGCCTGGCTGCCAAAATCACACACTGACACAATTGTGATACCAGTTGATGTAAAATGTCTTTAATTGCTACTAGACTCTGTTAACAGGCATGGAGGGAATGGTGACACATTACATGTTGAATACTGGACTAGTGGAAAACAATAAATATGAGTGAGATTGCATTTTTTATTACATCTTGCTCTTTCTGATCAAACAATATTCTCGATGTTCACCAGTGTCCTCAGTCGTTGCAGAGCGTTAGGTCAGTCCTGTTTAGCTGTGCCTGGAGATGGCACATATACAAGCAATGGTGATGAGCTCAAACTCCAGAGAGTAGCTGGCAGTGGGGAAGCAGCTGGGGTTTTTCCTGAGGACGGGCATCCTCAGGGACACAGGGATGGACTCCACACCGAAAGTGTTGTCGAGTCCCCTGCAGGAGTGGCTGGTGTGGCAGCTGGCCTCATGTATGACCTGAGGGACTCGGTTCAGGTCTATGTTCTCCCTGGGAATAGATCAGAGACAGGCGTTTCATTCTTTAGCTGAAGAAAAGTTACATTTTCTAGGAAAGAATATGTGTCTTCTCCAGCTTGGTGAATGTGAGGATTGGGTGCTTTCCTTAGTTACTTAGTATAATAAATGAAGAGTGACTGAGTTTGGTCAAGTTTGAAAAAAGAAGCGTTTTTTGAAGCCACTTTGAGCAATCGTTGATTTAAAGGATTAAAAAGATGTTCAGTGAAATGGACTACGTTTTTATTTCCCATTTGTTGTAAATGTACAACTAATGAAGTGAATCACCTACCTAGCCCTTTAGCCCTTCATCAGGCACGCTATGCTAGGCTCAGGCCTGAAATGTCACATGTGGAGATAAACTTCATTAAATGCAATTTCTGGTGTGCTGTTTTTGTTTTTTTGTGTCCAGCACCCAGATCTTAACAATTTCGATTTGTGTGTTTTTAAAATATTTTGCATATACATGACATCTAACATGACTGTTTTGTTCATTTTATTTAGCTTCCTATCCTCAGTCAGGCTTTCTTTAGTAAAAATACTTTTGTCCCCTTACATCTCACGTTGGACGGCCACTTGGAGGTTATTTCAAAATAAATAAAAAATGTATAATTTTTCAACAATTTATTTAATGTTTTGGTTTATCTCATGGCAAAAGTTGTTAAGAAAAATGCCCATTGACAATTTCCAAAATGCATTTTGATGTTCACAAATGTTAGGATCAAATTGTGTCAAACCAAAAGTCCCCAAAGTCAGAAAGATTTAATTAACATTTATCTCAAAGAGTACGACAGCAACACAACATTTGAGCGTCATGAGACCTGCAGATTTTTGTAAAAGTTGTTTAAAAGATGACAAATATTTTCAGAGCTCTAAAATCTTTAACTATATTTTTTGGTGATCAAAAAGCCAAACTTTAAAATAAAAATAAATACAGAAACAGAAATCTACTTCTTTCAGCCAATATGTCCCTTCAATTTAATAAAAAAACGAAAGTAGATGATCCATCAGCCAGCTCTCTCATCTTTGATCTAACTTAATGACAGACGACGTGGTACTCACACGTAGGTCCAGGTTGCGATGCTGCGCTCGTTGATGTGGCTGGGCATGTTGACCAGCTGGCTGTAGTAGTCCTGCAGGTTGTACGTGCAGAAGGACTCGTCCACACACTGACTGCCCAGCGGCATGGACAGAGACTGGTGTAGGGCCAGCAGGACCAGTGGAAAGACACGCAGAAGCTGCACACACAGCAGAACAGAATCAGAAATGTTTTAGACTGAGGTCTCTGGAGACGTCTCTTTTCTCTTTGTCCTCTCAAAGAGCACGGTTGTCAAACTTTGTTCATGGCCCTCTGGCTTCATTGAATGAAAAAATCACAATGGTGAAGAATTGTTTCAAGACTTGCAGTTCCTGTCAATAAGTCAGGCAAGAATATCAGGCTTTAAATTTGAATGAGTTTAATAAAATCATGTTTTTCTCGAAGTATCAAGCCAAAGTTTGGATCTCACATAAATATACACGTTCAGCAACAAATTTAAAAGAGCTGTACGAGCACAGCAAGCCAACCTTAAATTTCTGGTCAGATTTGTGACCCTGTTCACTTCGTTTCTGAAAGATGATTCTTGTTTAAAATCTTAAATTATCCCACTTGAGTATTTCAATTTGAGCCTTTGCATTATTACATGTGTTTACATTTAAAAATTTGTTGTTTCTTTACTCAAACAAATAAAGACTTTAGGAGAAAAAGGTCAAATTTTCTAGCAATGAAGATGTCTATGTATGTTTTCCCTGATCATCTCACATTCAGAAGCAAAGAAATAATGACTTCAGCTTCCATTAATTAATGCGTTTTTCTGGATGCGTCCTTTCAGGTTGACTTAAAAATTGTGAACTATTCCTTTAAAATCAGGAGAAATGGCCTCTAGAGGCCAGCAGAGTGTTAACTGTTTGGTAGCTGGTGCCAAACCATCATGACCATCAACATTTACGCAGGTGTCTTACCTGGAGCTGTTCCATGGCTCACGTTAATGACTGCAGAGCTTCGGTCTTTGGTCTTCGTCCTTCTGATGATCTGCATCCTGAACCTGAAACCTCCCCCTTTTATATTCGCCTGTCCTTGTGTGTGTGTGTGTGGGTGCATGTGTTGGTGTGTATCCGTGTTCCTGTTATTACCATTCAGCCTTGAGGATCATTTAATTCATAATGGACGTCAGAGCTTAGCAATGAATCTATGTCTGACTCATCAACACATGTGCGCTCGTCGCTCCCCGTTTCAAAAGTTTGACATCTGTTCTGGATGGACATGTAGCCGATATTAGCAGCCATGTTTTACAACCTCTCTTCCTGCAGGACTCAGGACTGTGGATTAACATGTTGGTTACTTTTTTTACCAAGAAACAAAGGAACTGATCAATGATTTAAGTCTCCCTCTCAGACAGGCTCTGGAGGACATGATATTATTAACTTTTACAACACCTTGAGTATCTACGAATTGACCCCAAAGACATGAACTATGACCGAAACCAGTCTGCAAAGTTGTGAAATTGACCATCTGTGGAAATGCTGCTGAAGAACTGATTAAACCAAAGCGTTCAATTCTGCATCAAATGAACATTAATGTCTTTCTTCATCTAGATATTTGTAAGTGTCTAAAAATTGTCTAATTGTAAATAAACTTTTATTTCTGTGTCATGGCAAATATTTGACCATTCCTGCATGGAATAAAAAAAACCTCACTGCATGATGAACACTGTTCAATAGAAATGTAGTTCAAAATAATTCTGTGGACTCCTCTGAGACAGGATCCAAAGAAAGTACTGGTCACACGACTGACTCAAGGCAAAATTATTTAGGCGCAAAGGAGTAACGTTGCGAATGCGATGCAGGCTTTGGGGAAGACGCAGTGGAAACGTTAGTTCTTTGCACCTGAGTCGTGTGACCAGTACTTTCTGTGGATCCTGTCTGAGAGGAGGAGTCCACTAATTATTTTGATCGTCTAAGGTCCTTCTCTGAGAGCACCAACCTCCATTTGTTGAGTTGCTGAAGCGCATCATGAGTTGCCTTCTCCTTCAATAGAACTGTAGGTTTCCAACTGCTGTTGCCAACATGTATCAACATGTGGACGACTACTTTGATGCCTTGAGTGAGAAACATTTGGCTGTCTTAGTCTTTTGTTTTTTTGGGTGTTCAGAAGCGACCATATTTGGATGCTGAAGAGGAGTGAGGAGTGAGGGGAGTGTAGAGTTACCTACAGGTGCTTTAAAAGTTAAATGTGTATTAAAGCTCAGGTACAAACATCCTGTACCTGCCTCCTGCTTTATCGACTGATCATGCCTCATCTCTTCTGCTCGGCTTTAAGGAAGCTGTACCAGTCGCAAAGGCCTCAACGGAGCATGCTCAGTGCACGAGTACACCGGCAGCTTTGAGGGCCAGCCTGTGCGCTTTAAGATGACTTCAGTGTGTGGACACGTGATGAGTCTGGATTTCATCGGTGGGTATAATCTGTTACCTATATCTGCTCTCACTTTACCGAACTTCATTAATGGAATTTTAATTTATTATCAGACAAGAAAAAACTAAGATCAGCATACGCCTGATTGTGAATTCCTCAACCCTTAAACTTTGTGTTTCTTATTTGGACGCCTGTTATGTTGTGTTTATTTTATATAAATGTTCTTTATCAGGAAAGTACAACAACTGGGACAAAGTGGACCCTGGAGAACTCTTCAGCAAAGCACCAACCGAGAAGAAGGAGGCGAACCCAAAACTCAACATGGTCAAGTTCCTCCAGGTTTGTTATCTTCAGTCTGTCCCAGTTTATTTTAGACGTACATTTCCTGCTGCATCCTGTACAATCATCTGTGTGTCGGCTGTGTGTCTCACTCCAAGTCTCTGGTCTCAGGTTGAAGGCAGAGGCTGTGACTATGTGGTTCTATGGCTGGATTGTGACAAGGAAGGAGAGAACATCTGTTTTGAGGTAATTTAGATTCCATTTACACCTGGTACTAGCATTTAATGTGTGTTTGATGTGTTACTGAACTAAAAAAAGAAAAGTATCAAATTTGTGTTTTTAAAGTATTCACGACGTGGAAAACGTGCGACAGAAAACTTTAGTTTACCCTGTGCCATCTAATCTTTAGACGGCAGAAGCCTTTGATCGGCCTGAATGGGGTTATGTATGGATCCTTTTGGACGGCTTAAAATTAGGGGGGTGGGTTCCATTTAAATTAGAGTCACGGCTGTGGCACTTTTACTTGCACTGAAGTTAGAATCTCGAGCTCACATCTTTACCTCTCCCCTTTAGTTTCCAGAACACCAGTCTTCATATTCCGTTATTTGCCGATGACATATTACTTTACTTCGATCAAACACCTACCTCCAGTCCTCACATCCTTTGAACTTTTCATAATTTTTGAACCCATTCCAGCAACAAAATAAAATCATCTTAATATCATTCCTATTCAGACCCATCCTCCTTACCAGCGCTTATTCCTTCGGTCAAATATCTGGGAGTGATCACCCCTTCTTCTCTCAAAGCTTTATCACTAAATAACTACCTGGGTAATTATAGACGTATAGCTGTTGATCTAGACAGATGGGTCCGTCGCCCCTTCTCTCTACAGGCCCTCATCTCCATGTTGAAAATGGACATCCCACCACGGGTGAACCTTCTGGGGCCCCGGACTGACTTGGGGCCCAAGCAGTTACATGCCTTGCCTCTTGAAAAGCTATGCCTTTGACCCCCACCAATTATTCTTTATTCTCACAGTGAAGTCTTTAGTGTTCATGGGCGTGTAGAGATGAGATTAAAGAACAGGGTTAATATAGTTAGTTGAAATATACTTTGACACATCCTCGTTTGATATTTCAATCTTTCTGCTGCTCACTCCCTGCCTCGCTTTCCTCCAGGTGTTGGATGCCATCGAGCCTGTGATGAACAAAGGCAGTGTGAGGGGGCAGAGTGTTTATCGAGCCAAATTCAGCTCCATCACAGACACGGACATCTGGAACGCCATGAACCGCCTGGGAGAGCCCAACCGCAATGAAGCTCTGTCAGTGGACGCTCGTCAGGAGCTGGACCTGCGAATCGGCTGTGCCTTCACACGGTAAACTGCTCTCTCCACACATGCACACGCACACACACACACACAGGGTCTGACACACAGGCATCTTATATTTAATGTGCTGCAGCTGTCAGAACAAACACTCAGGAAATGTGATTATTGATATAAATCATTGTTTGTAAATAAGAACAAATCTTTAATATTCTTATATTTTAACTAACTTCTTCATTTTTGAGCCTTTCTAAAAGGTTTGCTGATGTATATTTAGGCAGGTTTCTTTATTTTTTAGATTCCTAGATGACAAATAAACATGCACTACATCCACACTGCGTAGCTGACACATGCTGAACTCCCTGCTCTGAAACTTAGAAACTTGAGCTAACGATACATTTTACTGGAGCCTGTTTTTTGTTGTTCAAACCCCCTCAGGTTCCAGACGAAGTATTTCCAGGGCAAATACGGCAATCTGGACTCCTCGCTGATCTCATTTGGACCGTGTCAGACCCCGACTCTGGGCTTCTGTGTGGAACGTCACGACAAGATCCAGTCCTTCAAACCAGAGACCTACTGGGTCGTCCAGGTGAAGGTGAGTCGCTGTATTTTCTCCTCCTGACACAGTTTTTTTTGTCAGTCTGTTCCTTATTGGCTGACCTGTTGTGTCTTGTGCAGGTGTTCAAAGGAAAAGACACCCCGCTGACACTGGACTGGGACAGGGTGAGGGTCTTTGACAGGGATGTGGGTCAGATGTTCGTCAACATGACCAAGACATCCAAAGAAGCCAAGGTACTTTTTCTTTTTGAATTTAACAATGTACAGTTTACCCAGGTAACTTTAACAGCAGGTATGAAATCTGTGAAAGTATTTGAGGACAATAATAAAACCAGTGTTTGGGATTTTTCAAAATTCTTAACAGAACATCAGCAACTTGTAATAGTTTTACACTTTTTGCATGGTTTATATTCAACAAAAGGAAAGTTTATTTATAAAGCTTAAATCATATGTAATTAATTCAAAGTGCGTTACAAAGAAAGAGATATGAAATACAGCAGAAATATGACTTTGAAGTACTATGAGGCGACTCCTGCGAGCCCCTCAGAGACAAATAAAGTTTTTTTTAAATTGATTTGAATTGAATCTAGTTCAGGCAGTCAACTCAAGCTGCACTGATTTCTAGGGATGGGCATTGAATACTGGCGCCTTTTGGTACCGGTACGTGATTGGCCGGTACCAGGAGTACCATTAATTTCTTGGACAAACGGTGCTCTTATCGGTATTCATGCTTCGTCCCTCTTATGCAGTGCAGAGTTTTCCATAAGCGCTTCTGTCGGTCAAACAGCAGACCAGTCACTCATTTACAGCCTGCTTCTTATTACGTTGTTAAATGTAATAAAATAGTTTGCATGAACGAGTGATTAGGTCGGAGCCTAGACTCCAAACACAAACTATGTTCTGATGCAATAAACAATATATTAACAATAAATATTAACCAGAGGAACAATCATTTAAAGAGACTTCTGTCTAAATCCACGAGTTAAAAACCCAAACTGAAAATCTGAATTTTTGTTGGCTTAAAAATACCGTTACTGTAATGATTATTTAACGATCTCAGAGACCCTCAGGAGACATGGAATTGTTACTTTGTCTCCTCGTCTGTGTAATGAAACACCTTGTCACGATAAATCTCTCACATGTTTCCCAAAATGTAGAAATAGTCGTTGTCTGTCTGTTTCTGTATAGAAACGCTCTTAAAAGGCAAACCTCACATTTGACATCATTGCTCTCACTGCAGGACGTCTATGAGTTTATGTTCATTACGTTACAAACTTAAAGGAGCCGGAAAATCGTTGGTCTTTCTATCAAGCGACAATTTTAGTCAATTTTACTAAGGGCCTCAAAGAAGAAGATAAATAAACGTTCAGTTGAACTATATGGACTTGAATGGGTTGTATGGTTTTCTCCAGTTTTTCAAATCACCAAGGAAACTTTGGGGGAGACAATTTATTCGATTGCTAACTCTTTTACAGGTGGAGTCTGTGAGTAAGAAGGAGAAGGCCAAGCAGAGGCCTCAGGCTCTGAACACAGTGGAGATGTTGAGAGTGGCCAGCTCTGCTTTAGGTATGTTCACTTTAACACCAACATCACATTCACATGAGCAGCATCTCATCATTGTAAAGGAGTCATAAACACGTTTCTGTACCATCTGGCTTGTTTTTGTTGCTAATTAAAAAACCCACAGGAGGGGGTTTGTTTTTATGAATAGAGGTGCACTGACAGCTTTGTGATCGATAACTGGCCTCTCAGATAAAGAGATTATCAGCTGCAAGTTTCAGACACACACAAAAAAAACACACACACACACACACACACACACACACACACACACACACACACACACACACACACAAGCTAACCTGTGGGCAGTGTGGACGTGAGGTACGAATCTTCAGAGGGGAAAACGCTTTGACAAACTGGACAATTATTAAAGACTGCCTCTTGACAATTTCTTTGCTTGCCCCAAACCTCTACCAGTGCTTGCTTCACATCCACACTGTCTGTATGTAGGTGTGTGCTCTCGCTCTCATATTACTTTTAAAATATAATCAATGAATGTTCCTGTAATGTTCTTTGGTTATTATGGTGGAACTCTTACAAGATAAATCCTCAGGGTGTGAGCGTGTGTTTAAAAGTTTGGGTGCCGTGAGACGGATCACTTTGCAGGAAATATTACAGATGAATTCATCTTGATATTAAACAGATATAAAAAATATTAAACACTCAAAGGCAGACAGTATAGAGAATTTATGTTTCCTTCAGAAGGAGTTTACATGAGAACGGGAGATAGTGCAGTGAGCTGATGTAGTTTTTGAAGATTTTCTCATAAACTGTTATCCTGATTAAAAATCTCCCCCAAAGAAAAGTTGCAAAAACTTGATTTTGCTGTCAATTATGGCTTCTTGAAGAAAGAAAATCTGAATTGGATAAAATTTTAATCAGCAGGTCAGACCTTGAACAAAACAGTATCAGCCAAAGAAATCAGTGCGTATCTAAGATACTAAAAACCGGTGTTCACCAAGCGGTCCTCGAAAATGTACATATCTGCACATATCTGTCAGAATTTGTAGAAAATAACCGACTGTCTGACTCCTGCAGGATCAGGTAATGAGCGCTAAAAAAAACTTCTGCTTTTGGCCCTTTTCGTTCTCAGGTATGGGCCCTCAGCACACCATGCAGATTGCAGAGCGCCTGTACACGCAGGGCTACATCAGCTACCCTCGAACTGAGACCACCCACTACCCCGAGAACTTCGACCTGAAGGGGACGCTGAAGCAGCAGAGCAACAACCACATGTGGGCAGAGGAGGTGAGGGCCCAGCAATCATAAACTATTTGTTGTATTTAATCACAGAGGCAGGCAGACCGACAGCAGAATATGATGTTTCTAAGACTTGTACCTCTCCATCAGGTGAAGGCTCTGCTGTCAGCCGGGTTAAACCGACCCAGGAAAGGAAGCGATGCTGGAGATCATCCACCCATCACTCCCATGCGTTCAGCCTCAGAAGCAGAGCTCGGTGAGACATTCAGCTAATCAGACAGTGGATGAGTATGCTCATAAGAACTTTTACAATAAGAGAAAAAAGTACCGTACTCATTCACCAACTGTTCTCAGGGAGTCTTTAAGACCCTAGGGCTTTCACACTTGCAGGAAACTCCTGAAAAACTCTCCAGGAGGAGCTGTAAGTGTGAACGCAAACAGCCAAATTTTTCCCTCGGACTTCGACTGGAGTTTCTCCTGCCAGACCTCTAGTATTTTTTCCACACCAAGTCCGAATGAGCTGATGTGAGAACTCAGCAGGATGTTCTCTGGAGAATTCAGCTCAAGCCAATAGGAGGGGGGAGTGACGTTTATATTGTATACTGTGACTTCTGCACGGTGCATAGAGTGAATGCACGCCACCGCTACGATCTCCTTGCATCTAATTAAACGGCTGCATTACATTACAGCATTGATTCAGTTTAACTACAAGTAGCATTGATTTAAAGTCAAGTATTCTCATTATAGCATAGTGTAGTGGACTCTGTTGCTTTGTCCGCTTCTTCCTCGTCTTTTTTATACGTCACATGTTACCCCTGGAAAGCCCCCCATCCTGTCTGACAGGGACAGTCTCCCGCTGTGGAGTGCATATGTGACTTTTAGTTTGTCCACACTTTGAAGGTAAAAGAGACAAAGATGTTGAAAGATGGATGATTGAATATTTCCTTGCTCTTCCACAGGCAGCGATGGCTGGCGGCTGTACGAGTACATCACACGCCATTTCATCGCCACGGTCAGCCAGGACTGTAAATACCTCCAGACCACCATAGACTTCAGCATCGGCACAGAGGCCTTCTCATGTAGCGGAAAAACTCTGATATCAGCAGGTAAAGTCACGCAGGTCGCTTCTCGAGTCCTGATGTAGAGCTGCGACTGTAAACATGCAGCAAGAGCTTTTGCAGTTGGATCTTCAATGAATTTACTTTTAGTATGAGGAAGTAGTACAAGTTAAAAAAGCAGACGCTGATGTCTTTTTTGTCTAAGGCTTCAAAAAAAGTCTTTAAATCAAAGAAAGTTGTGGATAGAATCATGAAAAGCTGCTAAACCCTCTCCTATGTGTTTATATGATATTCCCAGGTTTCACAGAGTTGATGCCGTGGCAGGGCATCCCTCTGGAAGAGGCCATGCCACCGTGTGAGCGAGGAGACATTTTCACTGTGGACGAGATCAAACTGGTGGAGAAGCAGACGCACCCCCCCGACTACCTGACGGAGGCCGAGCTCATCACGCTCATGGAGAAACACGGCATCGGTACAACTCAGCACTGCCTGATATATTTGTGATTATGAATGTTTATATCTTCTAAATCAAAGTATTTAAAGACGAGGAAGCAGCCTGTGCAAAGTGTTGGCTGAAAGTCTGAGCAGTGTGGTGCTCTGAATGTCGGGATTAAAAATCTGCAGCAAGGTGTTAATACTTCAGATACTTTTGCTACTATGTCTTTAATAAATATTACAATCTCTGTTGTTTTGAAGATGAATAGTATTTAAAAGTGCAGAAGCTTTAAAATAATAATTTTCTTTAACCTAAAACTCCCACTAGCAAGAGAGAGGGAGAGAGAGGGAGCACTGTTTGTGAGTTTCAGAATATATTTCAAACACTTTGCAGAAGAGTTTCCAGTTCCCCTCACCTCTCAGAATCTCATTAACCCAAGCATCTCAAAAACACTTTGACTGAGAATAATTTTAATTTATATGCATCTTTGTTCGAATGGTCTTTTTCTCGAAGGTTTCTAAATGTTGTGCCGTTTGTTACTCAGTATTTTTAAATCTTATTTTTTCCCACCTTTCAACTGAATATTTGTGCAATTCAACAGTGCGCATGAATTTCTCTACAATTTTTGGTGATATATATTGGGTGCCTAGAACTTCTGTTTATGATACTATGTTATAAAACAAGTATTAATATTGTTAAGTAATAAGAGATTAAAAATGATGAAGCATTTTATTCTAAGCCAAGGTGTTTTTGCAAATTCCTAAACTTGATTCCAATACTTCTAACTCGGGGTTAATGAGATACATTTGATGTACCTGAGAAGTCAGAGAAATCTGAACTCTTCCGGCAGTGTTAATGAGTTTTGCTGCACAAATATTAGTGGAGGAAAAAAATAAAAGCCATAAATTACTCCAGTAGCGAGTGTCTAAACTTGGACCCTGTGGCCAGAGGAGCTAAAAAGCTTCCTGGTCTCCTTTAGTCTCAACCTCTGTGTGTCTTGTAATGCATTAATTTAATTAGGCGTCATCATTTAAACAGCTGCTGCTGAAGTTTTTTTTACACATTTGCTTCTGTCGTCCATCTTACAGGAACTGATGCCAGCATCCCCGTCCACATCAACAACGTGTGCCAGAGGAACTATGTGACTGTAGAGAACGGACGCAAGCTGAAGCCGACCAACCTGGGCATCGTCCTGGTCCATGGCTACTACAAGACGGGTAATATTTCTTTGATTTATTGTACATTCTGTAGAGCAGCGCTTCCCAAAGTGTGGAAGAGTGTTAGCAAATTTCTTCTTTCCTCAATATAAGATCATCACGTCTGTGATCGATAAACTGATGCACAACCCCCTCGCTCTTTTTCCCTTGTGTACCTGTTATTATATGTACCTTACAATAAATACTTTTGTGTTTAATAGAACCCCTCTCTCTCCCCCCCCCCATTCTAAGGCAGTGGCAGTCTGAAGTTTGGGAAATGCTTCTGTAGAGCATTTCAGAAACAAATCAGATGTAATCACTCTTCTAGGACGAGACAAAACGTTCGGTTCATTAAAATACATGAGCCACATTATCATTCAAAAGAAAATGACTTTTATAAATTGCCATTATAATGTTCTGTGTGTGTCTGTGTGCTGCAGATGCAGAGCTGGTGCTGCCCACCATCCGCAGTGCTGTGGAGAAGCAGCTGAACCTGATCGCTCAGGGTAAAGCAAACTATCAGCAGGTCCTGCAGCACACTCTCGATATCTTCAAGAGGAAGTTTCACTACTTTGTCGACTCCATCCCGAGTAAGTTCATAAGTTCAGAAAGGAGGGAACATTGATGTCTGTGAAACATGAACATGTGCAAAAGACTGGTGATATTGAGCTTTTTATTCAAGGATTCAATTGGAACTAAAACACAAAAAAATTGTGCTGGGAAGATAGACTTTCATAAAACTAGACTGAAATGTTGGAAATAATTGAAATTGGTGCTAGATAGACAGAGTAATTCTAAAATTACAAGGGCTGCGTCATTCTCTTCTGCACAAAGGGTACAAATACTTACACACCCAGAATGCAATGGGCTCATTGCCTGAATGTACCGACTGTAACCGTGTTACAAAAGTTTGGGATGGAAAGAAATGCCTTTCTCTATAAGACCATTTTAAAAGATTTGCATGTGAGGCATTTCTTTTTGCATAAAACATTTTCAAATCAATCTGCAATAGGAATATGAAATGTAATGCATAGCCTACACATTTTATTTTTTACTTTTGGTTGACCAGATGTGCAGCATTTAATCACACTGAGCACAAATACCAATTTAAGAACTGAATTTTTTTGGCAGAACAAATTAACAGATCACCAACTTCCTCATAAGAATGAGTATTTCTCTAAATCTAAAAAAAAAAGTAGAGCTATGAAATGAAAAATGTAATTTCATAGCTCTACATTAAGAATAGTATGTTTTTATTGCTATGGGGTTTTCATTACAAAAAAATGGCTCCAAGACACGTCTGATTATTGCATCTTTACCAATAATTGTGAGACAAGGCAGGAGCGCTGAGAGAGGAGACATATAAAATATTGAGTTTTGGAGGTGACGATGTGCATCCACTGTAAACAAGTGTTACCCTTAATAAGGATGCAGGATAATTTAGTGAAGGGGTTTTGAATGGTGGAAATGAATACAAGAGGGAATACAGGAGAGGATTGAAGATTCTAATTAAGTAATTGTACAGGGAATGAATAAAATAGGAAATAATAAAAAAAATAAAAACATTTTACAGTTTGGTTCATTCCTCTTACAGCAGCCAAATATCTCTTTGTATATTTTCACAGGTATGGACGAGTTGATGGAGGTCTCCTTTTCACCCATCGCTGCCAGTGGGAAGCCCCTGTCCCGCTGTGGAAAGTGCCGTCGCTTCATGAAGTACATCCAGGTCAGCAGAACAATAAAAACCTCTGTTAGAGTTCTAAGAAAGTATAGATAAAACCTCCTTCTATGGGTGTTATAGAATTAAACGTAGACATCACCAGGATCATGAAGGTGCCCGCTTGTTTTGCAGCAGACAGTATGTTGCTTTCTTGATTGTATGAGGTGAAATTCAATGGCCAGTACCGCTGAAGTACCTGTGATGGCTAGTGTCTGAGGCTCTCATTGGTGGCATCCCTCAAGGTTACATTTTTGGGCCTTTTATATTCTCATTTTCCATGCCACCACTTGGCTCTGTCTTTGTGAAACATTATGTTCTATATTATTCAGAAGCCCCTTTTTATTGCCTGTTCAAGACATGAGCTTTTGTTACGCCTTGCCATTAATTTAAATACCACAAAGGCTTAACGTTTGTCGATGTTGTTTTGTTGTTGCGCTGGTTTCTACGGTGACCCTGAAGGTTGACCACAGAAATATTTAATGATTGTGAAAAATATTCTCCCACACACCAAAAACATTTCACTAAATGCAAGAATATTTCATGAAACACAAATGCGTTTAAAAGAGAAAGGTTAAAATATTGAAAGTTGTCTTTTTTGTGACGGAAGAAACGAGTGATAGACTGCAAGGCCATTATTGGCTTTAGATCCTTTCTTATTCTCTAAGCCACAACTCTATGGAGGACAATCGTCTGTTCTACCTGATGATGCTGTTTTCCAGTGGCAGTGCAACCCATAAGGCCCTACCCCTGAGATGATACAATTTTTGTGCTCTGCACTGTCCTATTATATGAAGTTGGTATGAGGAGCGCTCATGTTGATGTGTATATTGCTATGGAACTGTAATCACTCTTTGGAAGGGAAATACTTGAAAATGTCTAAAGCCATTCACAACGTCCACCGGTGTTTGTATTGGGAGGAAAGACAGTCCATTATGTGGTCATAAGAGGCTGCCACGTATGACCTCAATGGCAGACCCATCTTTATAACCTTAGTGCAAATTATGTGCAAACTGTATTTGATCAATTTCTACCAGAATCATAATGTATCCAGAGACTCTGTTTTCCATGTAACTGAGTATACATGATGCTCAATATATTAATCGTTTTAGCTAATCTGTCAGAATGACGATAACTTGTCAAGCATACAAACAATAAACATTCAGAATGAACCATCTTTGTAAAAGGATTTCTAATTTCCCAAGAAATCCCTTGCCTTTTGAAATGACTTAGTCTTTATTCTCGTAATGTTCTGACTTTAGTCTTGTAAATTTACAACTCTAATCACATAAAGTCACGGCTTGATTCTCATAAATTTCCATTTTTATTTTCATACATGCACAACTTCAAATTTACAACCTTATATTCCTAATATTATGACTTTTATCTTCAAATCTATGTTTTCTTCCTCTTATGTAGCCCTAATACGCCATTGTTAATCTGTCTGAGCAGTAGCCTGTATGGAGAATAAAACTGGTCCCAAGATTGAGCCCTGAGGAACAACACCATCTGTCAGACCCCAAAAAATCAGTTATAGAAAATGATTCTAACACGCACTTCAGAGCCTAAATGTGTGACTACAAAATCATCAGGGCCAAAATGTTGCCTCTAGCTTGGCTTGAGAATCAGCTTGTTAGCCAAAAGAGCTAAGATGTGTAGTACTAAGCACTTAGTTTAAGAAATCCAGCTGTCTTAAACAAGACAAGGATCACAAAGATTTAAAATATTCTCACTTTAAATAACAGTTGTTTCTTTCTTTATTCCAACCTCAAACACGTTTTACATTCTGTTCCTCTCTGCGTCACTTGATGTCTGACTGCTGAGCTCTGGCCTTCAAAGTTCAGCTTGAAAAAAAAAAACCTTTTAAATGCTAAAGTCGCCATGCTTCCTGGCATTTCCATTTCCATCTGATAACAACCACTTTTAAATTCATGAATGAATCATGAGGCTGCAGATCTTTTTGTCGTTTTCATTGAATCTCAATATATGCCTGTTGGTTTGCGTCAGACTGTTGAGTGGTAACCCTCACAGGAAGTCCTCTGAACATGGGAGTTCTTCTTCATTCAGTTTGCTCCATTTGCACTTAGGCTGCATTCAAATTCAGTTTGGCCTCATCACAGTTTGCAGGAACTTTGTTCAACATTATTTGCTAATTTTAAGTTTGAACCCTTGAAAGCTAAGGGAGGTTTAGCTGCATACAGCTCACTTCCTGTGAGTGTTTCAGAGTACGTGAACGCCTCAGCCTTCTCATTAAAAGTTATCAGAGGTGAATCAAGGCTCGCTCACTCAATGGTTTCATTTATTGATCTTCTGCTGCAGGAGTAATGAGACTGATGTAAAGAGATGTTATAGGTCAACATAAAAGTAAAGAATCAAACATCCTTGTTTGTACTTTTTCAATATCCACGTTCAAAACACATTTCTGTAAAAAGAAACCAAAGTCTGACTGTTTTGTTTTCTGGAGCTTGGAGTATTCTTGTATTCTTGTAGATCCTCTCAGAGTGAAACTATATAAAAACTTCTGTACATCTTTCAGTAAAGAAAAGTGAGCTTTTGTTTTTTTTGCAATTCAGCAAAATAGATATTCTCGCTAACAATGTCACAAAGTATGTTGTATTATTTGTCCGTTCTTAAAAAAGGACAACTGGATTAGATCAATCTGATCCAAACAGACCTTCAAAGACAACTCTATCCAAATGCTCTTAATGGGACTGCATACCACAAACTCTGTCCACAGGGGGGCGCCAAAATCAACAAAAACTAAAAGATCGTGCCAGCTAATTAAAGTTGAACATTGTGTTTTATATAAACAGCAATTTTTTTCTTGTCACAAAATCCTTTAATTTTCTCACAACTTTAATACATATCTCATCTAATAACGGGGTCTGTTATTCACTAGTTGTAACAATCCTACTCAGAAGTTTTGTGCAACCAAAACAAGAGGTTTTATTCAGATTCATATTAAGATTGTCATATTTATTTTTTCTTCTGAACATTTCTTTTTCAAAATGTTATCCTATACCTTTATTCCAGTCAGATACTTTGGAACAACTGGACCGATCCTTTGATGTTTAATGGTCCAGTCTGGATCTGATCCTGATATTTTATCCTGACATGTCCCTGCAGGCCAAGCCCAGCCGGCTCCACTGCTCGCACTGTGATGAGACCTACAGTCTTCCTCAGAACGGAGCCATCAAGCTGTACAAGGAGCTCCGCTGTCCCCTGGATGAATTTGAGCTGGTGCTGTGGACCTCAGGGCCTCGAGGGAAGAGCTACCCCCTGTGTCCTTACTGCTTCAGCAACCCGCCTTTCAGGGACATGAAGAAAGGTAAGAACTGAAAACTGTCTCTGGGTTATTCTTGTTTTTGAAAAGAGTGTCTGATAAGCTGATGGCAAACATGAAACCAACAAACCTAGCAGTAGTCATTTATCTATACACACGTTTGTTTGATAAAGGCTAACTGCTACGAAAAAATATTCCACTATGTTTGTCAGGCAACCACATTTCTGAACAATTCATCTAAAACAGCGTTCAGAGTTACGTCACAATCTGTTGTGAATAATATCTGCAGGGATGTACGCTCTGCCGTCAGATTTTAGCTTTCCCATTAGCTGTGAGACAGATCATAATACTTGCTGGGTTATGGTGAGACCATTCTTACCCCTTCTTTTCTCACCTGTTTCTCTCAGGTATGGGATGTAATGAATGCACCCATCCGTCCTGTCAGCACTCTCTGAACTCTCTGGGCATCGGTCAGTGTGTGGAGTGTGAAGGTGGCGTTCTGGTGCTGGACCCCACCTCTGGACCCAAATGGAGGATGGCCTGTAATAAATGCAACGTAGTGGTGAACTTCTTTGAACATGCACACAGAGTGCAGGTAAGAAACAAGCACGTCTTCTTTTCCTGGTGCTTTCACACTTGCACAAAGCTCCCGAATCTTTCAGGATGAACTGCATGTGTGAAGGCAACAGGGATTTTTCTGCTTTTTTGTCCTTTGCCTATCACATCCTTAATATATGAAAAACACTTGGACCAAAGCTAGTTCTTCAATCTGCTTAATCACATCTGAATAAGACAAACCAAGATTTCCTTACTCTTCGTTTTTCTTGCGTCCTCATCTCTTAGTGATTAAGCTCATCAGTCCCCTGACTGTTTTATCATGTTCACCTCTACAACATGTTCTCTGAACTCTCTAAGCAGTCTCTCATGTTCCTCTCTCCTCCCTTTAGGTTGCACAGGAGAGCTGCGACGCCTGCGAGGCCTCTCTGGTCGCCGTGGACTTCAATAAGACTCGCACTCCTCTTCCTGCAGGAGAAACTCAACACACCGGCTGTGTTTTCTGTGATCCGATCTTCCAGGATTTGGTGGAGCTCAAACATGCCACCATGAGGCACCGGGGCGGGGGTGCGAGGAGAGGGCGGGGACGTGGCCGAGGACGCCGTGGCAATCCTAAAAAACCCAAAGACAAAATGGCCGCACTGGCAGCTTACTTCGTATAATGTTTTTTTTCTTGTTTTTTGTCCTGTTAATTTGCTAGCTCCATAGCAAGAAGGTGTACATGCCAGGGAACAGACTTCTGTTTTTACATGTGTGTTAAATGACTCTGAAGTAAAGACAAATTCAAAAAATATCTGCTGTCTGCGTCGTTGTTCACTGTTATAAAATCAAGATTTTAAACTGAATATGAGCAGATTGGATCAACAGTTCTCACAGAGACGTGCCAAACTCTTTTTACAAGTATACATCCTTATATACAGTACATGTTAAGATGAACTTGTTTCACTGGAACAAATAATATAATTGTTCTACCATGCATCTTCTACTAATTTTGAAACAAACTCTAGTTTAAGCGTTACAATTTAAAAATCTCTATATTGAGTTTTACATTTTCACTTTCCATTTTCAATTTTCAATTGTAATTATAGTGTAAGTCTTTTTTTATAAATCACAACAGGCAGAAATGCTGCATATTTGGTAGTCTATTTGACTCTAAATGAGAGTGTAAATGCTAAATTAACATTGTTCTGCATTAAAAAATGACTTGAAACATAGTGATTGAGACCATAAACGCAATAAGAAAATGATGAAAGTAGCAACAAATTCTCATAGACTTTTTTTTTTTACGATCTAACATATTTTTGCAACCATTAGAGTTGCTTGTGACGAAAACTTCCAAGAATGCATTAAGAGGTTTATCATTGTTTTGCCTCACAATAGCAAAGGTCAATTAGTCTACTTGTTCCTTGTTGCTAACATTATGTCACTTGAAATTACATTATGTAAAATGGCACATTGCCATGTCCCATTTTTGTTTCCTTTTCGTTGATTTTAACTTGGGGAATGTTAACCCCCAGTGTGGGGTAAGGTTGTCTAAAAATACACAGTATAATATCACCACTGTTTAATGTCTGGCCATAGACTGTAAATATTTCGGGTCTGGCTCTTTAAATTGACACTGAGCGGAAGTGTGATGACGTAGAGGACAGTGGTCCAATAGGGAGTGGAGCTGAGCGCAGATTTCTAAACATTCACTGAGTGTACAGTCTGTGGTTGTGACTGCACTGTTAGCATCCTTGTTTTTACCATCAGGCCTCACAGCGCAGGTTTGTGTCTCCGTTCAGTGATTTGTATTAACTCTTTGTCTGACACAGGGCGTGTTTCACTCACTCACTCACACACACACACACTCACTCACACACACACACTCACACACACACTCTCACACACACACACACACACACACACACTCACACTCATACTGTGTTTCTCAGCTGTGTAGTTTGTGTACATGTTGTTAGCTACTATGCTAAGGGACGGTTCCGATTAAGCTAACCCGGGTAAGAGGAGGAAACGCCTTTTTATGCTGGTCGGGTAAATATAACTTTTATTCCGGCTAGTCATGAATAATGTTTAAAGTAAGAAAAGCTGCCGGGGGAGGATACACGTAGAGACCTCTTACTGCTGTGTCACAACTCCTTAAATCATCATTTTAACTTGTTTGGGGAAGAAACTGTGTACCTACTGCTGTGTTAAAACATTATACCACAGGTGTTGTTCTGTTACTACGTTTTCACTTTTACCTGCAGCTGCATCATAAACATTTACTTTAGCTGCTACTTTCATAAATCGTTTAAAGCAAAGCAAGTTTATTTACAGAGCACATTTCAGCAACAAGGCAATTCACAGATCTCCACACAAGACATGAAAACATCATGACAAAGGGAAGAAGATACTTAAAAAAATTACTTAAACCTATAACAGTCATATTGAAGATTACATATGATAAATAAAAACAATCCAAGATCTAAAAGAAATAAAGGAATATGTTATTAAAACAAAAACAGTGGCTATAAACTCTGCACAGCAGAATAACATGGTAACTCACGATATGATACTGTAAGATATACTCACATGGCCAACGATAACAATACATTAAGATACAGTTATATTCTATCAGACACTGATACAATGATACATCTCAATATCCAATTAACTGAATACATTAAAATGCCCCTAAAAGAGGAGGGATGTATTTTGTCTCTGCTGTTTGATGCAAGGTTGTAAAAAATGTGGATACTTTTATACTTTTCAAAACCACGTGTTTGAAAACGATATTCACTGATTTAAATAACCCATAGTGTCAAGAAGTATTAATAAACTTTACAACTTGACTCATGTTTTAACACAGAAGCTCTAAGGGTACATGCATTCATACATTTTAATTTACTCTGTTTTCTTTTTTCTCGTGATAACAAGTAGGCTACATTTCGGTTGTTTTTTGAGATCTTGTTATCTTGAGATAACAATGCTAGATGTCCTGTGATGAAGAGTTGATTTGAGTTGTTTTCACAGGACTCGAGAAGACAACAAATGAACTCGATAACACAGGGAAACAAGTCGACTAATCTTGAGATAAAGAGACTTGATTAAAAAAAAACCTTGATTTACTCATTATCATGTGAAAACAGAGTAAATTAAAATGTATGAATGAATGTCTGCTTAGAGCTTCTGTATCTTAACAAAAGCTGCTACAAGAAAAGAGAGAGCAGCAGTTCAAACTCACTGGTTGGAAAATACTGATGTTTGGTGAGTTCATGTATATCTCAAAAAATTGCACTCATACTTAGCAACATTTCTGAAATGTTGCTATCGATTTGTGTTAAAATAATATAATTTCACAGCTTTGTAATTATTTACATAATCTTGATTGATTTGTTAATGTTTGCTCCTGACGCCTATATGTCTGTGTTGTATGTACATCATTAATCTGTGAGAGTGATGTCTGAAGCCCTCTGTTCTGTTCTCTACCATCAAGTCACGACCTGTGACCTGTGAGCAGAGAGCACCCGCTCACCTGAGAGTTCAAAGCAGACGAGTCAGCGAGATGGAGGAGGAAGAGGAGGCCCGATGCTTTCTCAAGAGTTTTGTGGAGGAGTTCCCGGCTCCTCTGGAGGAGGGCGGTGTGCTGCCTGTGAACCCGCTGAGCCGCAGAGTCTCTGAGGACGAGCTGCACGGGGAGAGTCTGGAGCTGGGCCTGAAGCTGCTGACGGCCAGGTATGACTGCAAACAAGACGTAAAAAAAAACTCTTATTCTACCTGTTTGATCTGAAGGTTGAGAAAGATAAGATTAAATACACACACAACTAGATCGTCCAATGCTCTCTATGCTTTTGTTCCATAAAGTTTGAGTCACTGTAATTAATATTACTCAACAGTAAAGTTTTCAACATGCAGACTCATGCATGTTGAATGCCAACATGACTCTGCATGTTGCTTTTGTCAATCAAGACACCCACAACTTTAAAGCTCCTGTGAGCAACTTTCAGGTTATGCTGATTTTGGCGCCACCTGTGGACAAAGCGTAAATCTTAATTCTGTGCACATCTCTTGCTGTACTTGTGTAAGTTGTTTTTCAAAACTGTCATACTTGTTTTTTTTACATGTCTAACATACATCTCATAATGAATGTTTGGTTTGGATTTTTTTTTAAAGAGCTGTCTCGCTCACTTGCCGTTAATACCTCATCTCACACCTATCCTGCGACAGGCCTTAAAAATAATTGTGAAGAGATAATCAGTCTTGTTGCTGAAAGTCTTGTTTGCTTTTTTAGTTCATACAGAAGCATCAATATTCATTTCAGTCTGTTTTATAACCAGATAAAAACTGCTCACTGGTGCAATAACTTCGTTTTTGTAATGACATAGAATCAGATTGGAGATTCAAATACTTACAATGTGTGTATAACAGCAGACTGCAGGCATGAAACGTGAAAGATAATCTTTAAATTAAACAGGTAATTAAAACATCCCCGGCCCATGGTTAAAATATCTCTCTCCAAAGTGTAAATAAAACTTAATGCAAAGTCAAGTTGTCAAGAGTTTAAACTTTAAATCAGTTTCCACTGCAGAACAATTAAGCGAAGCAAAGTTTCTGGCCAGGAAATGCAGCATTGCAGGACAGAGGCCACAACTGCTCACGTGCAATGCATCCTGGTACATGTAGGCACTGCTGGCACTGATGTACATCAGCTCATAAACAGAGAAGGAGAAAACCTGCTGTATAATTAGTCCAGGGTTATTTATTATCAATGAGTAAGGTGTGTGTGTGTGTGTGTGTGTGTGTGTGTGTGTGTGTGTGTGTGTGTGTGTGTGTGTGTGTGTGTGTGTGTGTGTGTGTGTGTGTGTGTGTGTGTGTGTGTGTGTGTGTGTGTGTGTGTGTGTACATTCCTCACATGCCTGACAGCTCTGCTCCTGCCCGGCTCGCTCTCTCTGCGAGGTTGAATCTGCTGTTTGTGTTCATTGTGCAGGAACAACAGAGCAGTATCTGCTGACACACGATTTAAAGAGTGAATCCCAGAAAGAGAGCTGCAGAAGAACCGAGCCAAAACAACAACAACATGAACAGAACCTCCCCGATCATTTATTACTCCATTACTGTCATCAGTGTTCGATATTCATTTACATTTCTGGTGTTTCTTTGACACTGAAGACAATTGGATAATAAGATAGCTCATAATACATGACATCTTTGGCATGTTAAAGTCTGTGTAAAGCAATAACACAAATGGATTTTATCAAGAGGGGCTTCTCATCCAGGGACAGCAAGACTTGAAACAGGCTGGCGATGAAACGTATTGGTCCTCTCCCCTCTGGGATTCTGATGTCATCTCTCAGATTAAAACCATGAGAGTTTTTGCTGGAGTTGGTGCACGCCCTCGTGGTCTCAGTGGTTTGGAGTAAGGAGATGCAAGCTGTCTAAGGCGGTCTTTTTCTCCTCTTGACGTTACATTGAAATCAAACATGTTTGATATTATTGCAGGTCTTTAGTCTTGTCTTGTGCAAATTGTGTTGTTCAATGATGTGACAACTATCAACAACCAATAGGAGCAGTCTTTACTGCACAAAACAGGAAGCAGCAAACAAGTAAACATGTCTGGGAGGAGAAGGAAGGTGTGGTTCTCCTGGACTGTGGAAAAGGAGGAGAAACTGGTGGAGTTGTGGAGAGCGCAAGAATACCTCTTTGACGCGTCCTTGCCTTTGAACCACGATAAAGAGTAGGCAGAAAAAAAGGGGACAGGAATTACTGCGGCCCCATTGCATACTCACCGGTGACATCCCCCGTTGTCACCGG